AGTTATTACCAGGTACTTATGTCGAACGAACGGGTACGACCGCTGTTTCTAGAATGGGGACAAACCTAGATATTATGTTAATTAGCAATATGGCACCTCCGTATAGTGGTTCTTATTTTTAAGCCCTCGCGCAGGAGGCATTTATAGCCGTGAAGAGCAACTTTTAACCATTACCAGGTACAGGTAAATGGTTTGTGATACTCGTGTATAAACTATATGGTATATTTCTAAACCCTGATCGAGATGACGTGGTGTCATACGGTCAGTTCCCCTTAAATACCTCGAGAACGCCAGAACTCCTCTTGCTGCTGTTAACAATACGTTCAGAGCATATGAGGATATAAGTTCATGGAACAGGTGCCACAGTTGTTAATAACTTGATACTGGGCCATGACTAAAGCCGATGATTATCAGCAAGTCGTGGACTACGGGTAAAGCGTACATCTGCTGCAGTAGAATATCTTTGAAACTATTCGAATAGCCGTACTCATGGAGTTGAGTATTGGGACTCATATGGTACACTGGTTAGAAATTTAAAGTCTATATATTTATAAATTCTTGCTATAACTCTTCCAGATTGATTATTACTTTTTTTTTGCAAAGAACCCTACAATATGCCAGTGCATAACATATTTCCATGATAACTTGCTGAGTATTGTGAATACTCATCCTTGCTCTCATAACCCCTTTTTCAGATATGGGTCAAGAGGAGGACCCCTATGACTATTACTATGATGACCCCGATAATTTAGAAAATCCCTAAAGGTTATACCTCCCTAGTTAGAATGTATAGAAACTTCCGCTATGTATTAATTCTAGTTGATCAATTAGGTGAGTACCTAATTGTAAAACTCTTAGTATTGTAAAACTTTAACATATGCAATGAAGAACCAGTTATATTGTATGTATCAATATTTACTGATCCATGGATTGATACATTAATCATAGTCGGATCCAAGTAATTAATTTTGGGACCCGACACGATGTCACTGCAAACAAAGAAAATGTGGACCCTACTATAGGAAAATCTAAAGTTTCCAAAGTTACAAAGAGTATGCTTACTGAAAATGTTGGGAAAGGGACAGCAGCGAAATACATTTCCTCTAAACAACTACTATCTGGTGCTCTAACGTGAGCAAGCAACAGGAAACAACTGGTAAGAAAGTTAATTTTTGCATTGCCATTTCACAATCCAGCCCAACCTATTGCTATCATGCAGTTCAAACCATGTTTGTATTCAGCAGGAAACTCAAACTCGGGCGGCACATTAAGACTCAAAGATTGGTAGACATGGGAACAAAGAATAGAGGGGTTATGGAACAATATAGGGTTTATGGACATTTTATTGTTGAATGGATGAATGGACAAGTTACAATGTATCGTCATATTTATGTACTCGTTATTTCAATGGGCTGTAAGACTAATGATAGTTTGCTACCTCAAAAATTTCAATATATATGTTGCAGTAACCAAATAAATCATTGTTATGACATATTTCGCTTCGTTGCTATATCCTACCGTATGCGACGACTCCTAATTCGTTGCGATATGGTTCTATCCAATCGTTGCGATATGGTTCAATCCTATAGCGACGGGTTTACTTTGTTGCGATATAGTTGTAGCCTATAGCGACGGGATGCATGTTGATGCCATAACCTAGAAGCATATAGCCACAATCCATACTTAGTTGCGATATCCTTCGAGCGTATAGCCACCGGTTACATGTTGAACTTAGTTGCGATATCCTTCGAGCGTACAGCCACGGGTTACATGTTGTTACGATACACGTTTGGTGTATGGCAACGACTCTAACTTCGTTGCGATATCCTTCAAGCGAATAGCGACGATTTACTTTGTTGTGATATCCTTTAATTGTATAGCGACGAGTCCTACGTCGATGTGATATCCTTTAAGCATATTGCAACACCGTACGTGTTATTGCCACTTGCAAATATCGTTGCAATATACAGGATTGCAACGAAACTGAAACGTTGTGATAATTCTTGTTTGCAACTATCTAACGTTGTTGCGATAACAACTATTGCAATGTCAACTCGAACGCTAAATATCGTTGCTTCTTCAATCTTTCCCCATGCTTCGTCTCGTTGCAACAGCCCGATTTTATGGCAACGCGTGAGCACTCGTTGCGATACCCTATCGCATCAGAGGTACTTGCAACGCATGCCAATGAAATTTTTTCGTTGTGATTTCTCTGTATTGCAACGAAAACACCCATATCGCAACGATTTGGCGCCGTGGTGCTAGGCCGATTTCCTTGTAGTGTGTGCTCTTGCTCTTTCTGCAGTCATGAAGAGAAGAATCACGGGTTTGTTCAAGAAGGGATCAAGCTCATGTTCAAGTCATCACCAAGATAAGTCGAGTACACACTCTTCCACCGATGTCTCCATGGAGGAGGTGGACACCTCGCCAAGGCTTCTCGATGACTCCAACCTCGACCTCATAGGAGACCGGGAGATGCAGGGCTATCACATGCTCAAGGATCGGCCATTTGCTGACACCCCAGCATACGACCTAGAACTTCTTCAGAAAATAGGTACGGATGTTGATTTTCGTATTGTTTGGAAGGCTATAGGATGGGAGAAATTTGCTGTGGTAGATGAGCCAGGTTCTCGCTTACTTACCTAGAAATTTTTTATGTACCTTGCTACTTTGCTAGAAGTAGATGATGGCATTTCTTTTTGGTTTTTCTGTAAGGAGTTCTATCTCTCTTTTAAAGAATTGAGTCTGCTTTTAGGTTTTGACAAAACTTGCAAAATTAATTTTTGGAAGGCAGCTTCCAACTCTGAGAAAAACAAGTTATGTAGAAGGCCTAGATGGCATCCATAATCCTACTCTTAGACTCATGTATAAATGGCTTGGCATGACTTTATTTCCTAGAGCTAATCTTAGACCCATTCGTGAAGATAAGTTGATTATCTTATTTGACATGGTTAGAAAGATAAAAGTTTCTCTTATGTAATACATGATTCGCCAATGGTTAGAAAATTTCAAGTTTTCCGGTCCTATTGAGTGCACTTCTTTGGTTTCTCGCATAGAAAATGCACTTGGGGTAATAAGGGGTGATCAAGTCTTACTTAGTTGCTAAGGTTATTGTGTACATTGATCATGCTGCTCTAAAATTCCTGCTCACTAAGAAAGATGCAAAACTTCGATTAATTAGATGGGTTCTTCCACTCCAAGAATTTGATTTTGAAATTAAAGATATAAAGGAGTAGAAAATTCTGTAGCAGATTATTTGTCGCGTTTAAATATTTTACATTTCGCATACGTTACTTGCCTTCCACCAGGGCATGTCACAGCCACCTCATCAAAATGTTGCCAAACGGCCGAAGTTCGTGATCTCTTTGAGCTGGTGTTCGTCGATGGACTCCTGCTCATAGTTCCTGATCCATCTGAAGCCACCGGTACCTCGTCCAAAACTGACGGTGTTGGAACCGATCCGGAGGCATCATACTCGTTATTTATGTATGACGCTGATAGGTAATTAGGGTCAAAGTCACCCAAATTGAATGACAGACTGCTCGGATCGTCCATGCTGAATATTATAACCACATGGACGGAATTTCAAAAGAAATATACATATAACATAAAATACGAATAATAAAAAAGGGATTCTCCAATTCTTTCTTACCTTCTTTACACCTTGTGCATGCAGTTTTGCTAAAAAAAAGTGGACTTCACAAAGTATTTTTGATTTTGAACAAATTTTGTTTAGATAAGAAAATTGAACTAGCACACAAAAGAACAAAAGATAGCACAAAATGGAAGGTTTGGATGATTCAAAATCTCCATAGTGAGTGTCCTATTTGTAAAAAAAATAGAACTTTTCTGATATTTTTCGCATTTTTTATATTTTTTTTGTGCTCCAACGATCTTCTCAGCTGGATTGGTGCAGACGGGCGGGCGCCTACTAGCACTATTGGCAGGCATGGCTGTGGCGACTAGCGGCTTGGCGCAGGCGGGCGGTGTGAGGAGAGGGCGGGAGGCAAGATGCGCGCATGCTGCAATTGGTGAAGGCGGGCGGCCCGCGTGAGCCGCGAAGGGAGGCGGGGACGCACGGGGGTGCGTGCGAGCGTGCCGCGCGCACACATTGGCAGCTGGGTGCGGCACTGTGGACATGTACCTGCGGTGGGCTGGTGGCTTGGGCCTTTCGTGCCGTGCTGGGCCATGCCTACCCAGTACACGCCATGCCATACCAACCCATGGGCTGTGGCCTCGACCCGGCACAACCCAGAAGCTCGTTGGCCAGTGCCGTGCCGGGTTGGATACTGTATGTCACGTCCAGAAATTCACTGGTAATTTCGGAACTTATTTGTGTATAAAATCCTCATACAGAAATCAGCCGAGATACACAAACTGACAATTTAATATACAAATTCATCAAAATAACTAAAGCAATAAATACCTACATAAGAGGTACTTAGTCCCCACCACGAAAAAAACTGCAGCGGAAAAATAAAATCTAGTGAAGCTTCAGCTCCACTCCCATAGGCAGCTCAACTGGGGTATAAGCCAAACGTCTTCTCCTTCACAACTTTTCTTCAACCGAGGTTTGATTGATTATTGCAAGGTGAGTACATGGAATACTCTACAAGCCACACAACAAAAATGCAAGTGCACAAGGATACCAAAGAATGGCATAATATAGGGCTCATTTGCAAAAGCAACATTTAGCAAACATTTGAGAATTGTAAAACAGTAGAATAATAAATCATTAATATTAATCAACACTGAACAGCACACCCATGCTGCATATGCCTAACCAAAACTGAACAACCATACCCGGCTGTACAGATCTATCTCCAAACCAGAAATGTACCATTCCAAACCAGGAGCTAAGCAAATTATTAGCAATTATATCATCATTTATTATGGTGAGAAGTGTGAGCCTAATCACGAAAGACATTGTTAGACCCGCCCACAACCACGGGTATGGCTATTTGTTGGGTCCCAAAACTAATGATTCGGAAACCGACATGTTTAACTGTATCAAGCCCTGGATCAGTAGATTGATACAGGTTCAACAATCTGGATCTTCATTGCATACATTTGAATAAGGCTCCAAAGGAGATGTTATTACAAAATATATGGGTATTTACAAACTTGTGGCTAACTAATACAGCAGAAGCTATAGAATAAACCAACTCTAGTGTATTGCTATAGACTTAAACCATCTAACTAATCTAGACTTGAGAACTAGATTGAAATGAAAACTAACTTATATGATTGAACTCTCGGCTTCGGCAAGAACTCCAAATTAACTCTGAAAGAAGGGGGTTAAAGTAAGGGTGAGTACAACGTACTCAGCAAGCTATTATATTCAAGTATGAATGTATGAAATAATAGTATTTGAGTAGAGCTAGATCTATTTGCAGAAAGCTGAGAAAGTAGAAGGAGAAAGTCTATAATGTTTTGAAATGCAACAATATTTAATAAAATCTGGAGTTATATTTCTAACCAAGATGCCATAGTGAGTCCCGATGCTCAATATCCGTGAGCACGGCTATTCGAATAGTTTCAGAGATACTCATACTGCAGTAGATGTACGCTTTACCCGCAATCCATGACATGCTAATATTCATCAGCTTAGTCATGGCAAAGCTTTTCGGTTACTAACATCAACGGTACCTGTTCCATGAACTATAATCCCCACGCGCTCTGAACGTAACGTTATCAGCAGCGAGAGGAGTTCTGGCGTTCCCGAGGTCTTTAGAGAGAACTGGTTGAGAGACCCCCGTCATCCCAACCAGGTTTTCACAATACACACACAGTGCGCAATAATCAATATATTTACCTGCGTCTCGGTAAATATTATAATCGCTCTGCTCGGCGTAAATTTGCCTCCTGCGCAAGGACTTAAAGAAGAACCACTGTACAGAGGTACCACCTTTGCTAGATAACCTACTTTGCTAAGTCTGTCCCCATTCTAGAATTGCGGTCGTACTAGTTCGTTCTTCACATGTACTTGGCAATCTTATGTCGGTTGGAACAGTACTAGCCACCCGAAAATCAACCATTTCTACCATACTGTTCCAATCTAAGTTCATTATATTTTATGCAATCTAACTAGGCATGGCTAAGCAAAATCTAGCATATATCTGGTTTACTATATGTTCAAGTTATGCATTTAAAATCATGAATGGCTAATGCATGGAATAATAGAGATATAGAATATAGGATAATAATGCTCAAAGGGGAGGAATAATAACTTGCCTTGCTCCAACGCAAACAAATCCAAGATAGGCAACCTAATTATCCGATCCTCAAAACATCACAAGTTGCCATCCAAAAGATAATAGACTCTACTAAGAAAGACGAAGAACTAAATTCAATAAAAGCCATAAAATAACAAGAAAACGATAAATGGTTAGGAGGGCTAGGGTTTGGTTGTGTGTTAGTCGATGCTAGATCATAACGACTAGGTTTGGTATCTTCTCTAGCCGGTGTCAACAGACAGCATAACGGTTAGAGGGATAGGAGGTTTGTGTGGGTTTAGTTGGGCGGAAGTGTTACTCCGACAACCGTGAGTGGCGGCGGAGCGACTAGGATCACACAGAGCTCGAGAGCTAACTGTGCGGCGTGCTGTGGAGGTCGAGGGAATAGTGAAGCTCCGACCGCTATACGCATCAAGGCGTGGGGTGCCAGAAGCAGCACTTCGACCTTGGGTTTAGGCTTTGCCGGGCTTTATAACCAACGGTTCGACGTTGAGGTCCGTAGACCGCGCAAACGTCCCCATGGAAGGCATAAAGTTCCAACCGGCGGCTTTTTAGTGGCTAAAGGGGTAATTTGGGACAAAAGAAAATATTTGAAAAGGCAAATATAAATTCAAACGATATTTGAATAAATTCAAATAAAATTATAAAATACAAAATTTGGTGTCAAAAGATAGGGTTTGAATTTATATAAATTTAGGTCCAAGTTTTACTGGAATCGGATCTACGGTTTAGGAAATATGGGCTTCTAAAGATTGGGTTTTGAATTAAATCTAGAAAATGAGAAAAGTCACTGTGCAGGGGACCCACCTGTCAGGCTTTTCTTTTTCTTCTTCTTTTTCCTTCTCTCCTTCTTCCTCCCGTTCCTTTCTTCTTCTCTTTCTTGCCGGCAACAGAGAAGAGGGAGGGAGGTGGGGCGCCGGTGCTCCGGTGGCTGGATGGCGGCGACGCCGGCGGCGGGTGGTGTTCCCTAGCACCACGCACCTGGGGAGGCCGTTGGCTGGTAGAAGGAGTGAGAGATAAGGCCGGAACGGCGACGGTAAGGGCTCACCTCCGGCCGGCATGGGTGGAGACGGTGGTGACTTGATTCAAAGGGGAAGAGAAGGGGGAAAGGGGCAAAATGGAGTTGTCGGAGGTAGGCAAAGCCGGAGGTGCGAGGAAATTGATAGGGGAGCTATAGAGAAAGAGATCGACCGACGACGGCGACGGCCGGACATGGCAGGAGAGAGAGAGAGATGGAGCTTGGTTTGTATGCAGAGAAGGGGAGGGATTGGCGGGCTATTTATAGGAGGGAGAGGTCGGTTTGGAGGAGGAGGGCAAGAGGGTCACGGCGCCGGTGGAGTGGAGGAGAAGGAGGCGGCGCCGGCTTTCGTTTCTTAGCAGCGACGGAAAAAAATTGGCGGCGGCATGGAGAAGACGAACACGTCGCCCGTTCTGTCAGTTGATTGGCCGGGGAAGGCGCTTCGGCTCGGCGGCTGACATCAGAGGCGTGAGGTGGCGCTGACGTCGGGCGGCGGTTGCTTAGCGTCGAAGACAAGACGACGGCGGCGCAAAACTTCGAGTGGCGGCGGCAAAAGCCGTGACGGCAGCGGTGGCCTGGGCGCCCTGTGCGCCCACGGGAGGAGAGGCGTTGGCTCAGCTGGCCGGCTGGGCTTGGCTGGGCCGACCCTGGTCAATTGGGCCAAAAGGAAGAAAAGAGGAGACTTTGGCCCAATAGATGATTTTCTAAATTTTGAATAGAATTTGGAGGAGATTGACTAGGAAAGTTTGAAAGGAAATTATATTTGAATATAATTTCCAAAAGAGATATTTCTATAGTTGGTTTGAGTGCAATACTTTAGAGATGGAGTTTATTTAATGCACTCAAATAGAAATTCAAAATATTCAATACCATAAATAATATGGCTCTAGATTTGAATATTTTTGAGTATGTGGAGGGAATATGGAGGGAGTAGAGTAAATAGAATTCTAGCCCAAAATATGTGGTATGAAATTTAGAGAATTAGATATGGGCTAAACGAGGTTTTGAATTTGGGGCGGAGGGATAAAGTCTATTCTCTTAGCACAAGAGCAATTATTCACAATATTTGTAATAATATTATTTTTGTGCCGAGGAGGAAATCAAGCCACGGAAATTAAATTGGTGGCTAGATTGAAAAAAGGAATTTGGATACTTGAAATTTGGAAAGGGAACTAAGGATAGGTTTGGAATCAAAGGATAGGTTGACAATTAATTCCAACAAATTTGGAATTGCTTCGGTTTAGGTTCAAGGATAGTGTTGGAGGATTTCTTGGACCATGATTCATAAAAGATTTTCAAACTAAATTTGAATAAAAGGAATTTTGTCAAAGGAAGGTTTTTAAATTAAAACCCAAAATCAAGAAACACCTTAATTTAACTAAATATATTTTTAAAGGAAAGACACAAAAGAAATTAAATACCAGAAAGAGATTTTATGCAGGTTAAATTTAGGAGGTCTCTTTAATTATAATATCCTAGGTTTAGGAGGTTAATAAAAACATAAGAACCGGTATGATGCATAATTAGAAAATAGCTAATTTTTAGTATGTTACACTATTCGAATAGTTTTACTCTGGACAGAGATATACCACTGTAACCACAAGACATAGCCCCACAACATGTCACCACGCGCCTCAATACCACCATGGTACCTCGGAAAGGAGCTGTGACAGTACCCCTCGCATAACACAATCCATCACAGCGCACCGTTCCTGGATCATAATCACCTCCTTATAATTCAAGGCATGGACTCCCCAGCGACCCCCGTGGGTTTATCTCCGCCACTTCTCAGTATGGTGCCCCGCAATGAACTATGTTATACAAAAGGTAAAGCCGTTGCCTACGCTGGCTTGTGGTTGGCACGGTTAATGTTTCAAAACCGAAACTCGTGAACAAATTTAAGCCACGATATCATTAGCTTTGTTAAATTTACTCCACATTTTTTTTGTTAAATTTAAAAAAATACTCCACATTTTTGTTCAATAGAGGATGGCGGATGGTGGGGTTAGCACCTAAAAGGAGGAGCGTCGTAGTACGGTAGTACCTTTCAGAGTGTGTGTCATAACAAATTACAGATATGCACCTTCACCTAAATTAAGATTCAATGTCAAAACTTTGTCCAATCACTTTTCAAAATGTTTACTTATGGTATCACGGCAATTCCTAACCAAAAAAATCATGTTTTTTCGTTCTTCTAATGTGACTTATGCTCAACACCAGTAGGTGACCACATTGTTGGTATTTCTTAACTACATTACTAAAAATATAATTCCCAGTAATGGCGCAGAAATATTCATGGTATATTATGGTTATAGATCATATCCGCAAGCGCACGGGTATACCATTGTAGTATTTCACTCGAGAGTATTTCAAGGTTATCATATTAGTTTAATCTCGTGGGAAGATTATAATAGAGAGAACCATGCTAATATCAAAATATAAGCAGGGGATAATTTACTTCAAGGGTAGAGTGCCACAAAGCAAAAGCACTCAATATTCTCATACATACAAATTCTAGGCTAAGTGGAAAAGAATAAGAAAATAATCATTTCCTATACTTCTAATATACATACATACCACTTCAGATAATATTATCTACTATATAATTATATAATCAATACCCCCTTTACAATGCCCTCCTGGGGTTTCGAGTGACCACCCCTAATTTCCGAGTTCCTTACGACAACCCATCATGGCCATCCAACCAGGGCTAAATACGGAGGAGTACCCCCCCAAGAAAGTAACTTAGGATTATATACTGTCGTGGAGGAATACTCATACTGAGCTGTCACCATCAGCGGCCCACCTCTACTAACTCGTAGCCTATAACCCCAAATAATGATATTCAATAGCCTAAGCACCTCACTTATGCTACCAAATACTACTGTACAATCATCGTCATGACTTAGAGCAATCATATAAATGAATATTATACCCACACCAATGCATCTCCCAGGTAAGCTAGCTAGACAATTATATCCCGAATAATATATCGGAAAGTAATCAGAGTGAAGTAAAGTACCATAAATATATTGAGAAGAGTATTCTATAAATAGTACAAGTCTCACAAAAGAAGGAAGAGCTACTAGAGCCGTACCTGAATTCTTCCGAAGACTCTAAGGACTAAAGAAACTATTCTATTTCTATTCCACTAGCTCTAGAGGACTCATCTAAACTTGAGAGAGTATGAGAAGCTCCTTGCTTGAGTGTGTGGAAGAAGTGAGGAGGTGAAGGCCTTTTATAGCTCCCCAATGACAGTTGTGACGGTTAGAATGGTCAGAAATACCCTCCAACCGTCATTAGGATGCAATCCTGGACGTCCACGCCAAACCCTGCATCCAACGGCGCAGGTGGGGTTCGGTCGAACCATGGGCTGGCCCAATACAACCCATTTTCGGCTGGCGGCCTCTTTGACTTCTTCTCTCCACAGACTTTTGAATTTTGGGCTTGTTGGATCTTGTCATTTAAGAGTTCTTGGCCCATATTTCCATAAGTCTGAATCTCATCAGCGCCTGATTGATTGATCATCTACTTTGCTATTGATTCTCCTCCATTTTGTACTTCTTCTCTGCAAAAGGTTAGAATCCAAATGCTAGTGGAAAATAGTTTATTCTAACATAAATATGCATTGCAAGCATAACTAGTTCTCTCTTTATTTTAGTAATATTGACACGCGAGACTAATTGATAACGACTGTCAACACACATCTGTCATGTGCAAAGGTTATTAGTTGGGTGAAGAAACTCAGGGTGTGTTTGGTTGCTCGTATCCCCCTAGTATGGTCGATCTCTCTTATCCAGACTGAGTGTAGCCTGGCTTAGGGGATACACATGCATGTGTTTGATTGCTCGCATGACATAAAGTTGGATACCATGAGATGTTGTTTGGTTGGTTGTAGCAACGGGCGGATGGGATGGTTGCATACAAGAGATGTTGTTTGGTTGGATGGATACATCTTATGTGTATACCTATTATTGTGGATGGTGAGGTTACCCCCGAAAGTTTGTGGAGCAAGATTTTTTTTCCAAAAAGAAAACTGTTTATGGATGGTAAGGTTAATCCATAGTAGAGGTTATAAATTACATTGTGTTTTGCATCACATGGGCCTGGCTGAGCCCCATCCAGGCAACCAAACAGGCTGCTAGTTGCCGAGAATGCTACTTAGCGATCGATCGCTAGGGGTTGCTAGGAGGCGATCAGATTCTGATTCTCTCCCTCCACTTGGTTTCCTTTTTAGGCACCGTATTACTTTCCTATTTTAGTAAATTTATGCACCTAAAGTTTGTACACCTCAAGTTTACACATCTCCACAATTTTTGTTAAAAAACAAAAAAGTTAAAAAAAATTATGTATAGAAATACTATATATAAAAAATTTGAATTCAAATTCAAATTTGAATCGGGTATATAAACTTTAGGTTTATAAACTTTAGGTCTATAAACTTTAGGTGTATAAACTTTAGATGTATAGAAATACTATATATGAAAAATATTTGAATTCAAGTTCAAATTTGAATCGGATATTTGAATTCAAATTCAAATTTGAATCAGACATAATTCAAATTCAAATTTGAATCGGATATATAAACTTTAGGTCTATAAACTTTAGGTGTATAAACTTTAGATGTATAGAAATACTATATATGAAAAATATTTGAATTCAAATTCAAATTTGAATCGGATATATAAACTTTTGACTTATAAACTTTTGGTCTAAACTTTAGATGTGTAAACTTGAGGTGTATAAACTTTAGGTGCATAAATTTACTAAAATAGGAAAGTAATACGGTGCCAAAAAAGAAAACCAGGTGGAGAAGAGGGGGGAGGGGGGAATCGATCGCTGCCCCTGTCGTGAGGTGATCGATCGCCCATTAGGCGTATCCGCTAGTTGCACGCCGGATGCAGGCTAGGTGCCATCCAGGCAACCAAGCATGCCCTCAATGAAGATTGTATTTAAAGACAATAACTGGATGTGACCCTGGACCTCATAGGTGCGGCAGAGCAGTGGTTGATGCCGCGTGCCTATGCAAAAAAAAAAGGCAGATGAGGAAGAAGATAAACCATTGCAATGCCTAACCCTGAGCAGAGATAAAATCCATCCTTATAAAGTTAGTAGATTGGTAATCTACCTGAAATCAACCTCTATTGGTCTGAAATTTTTGTTTTTCCTCATGTTTCGATCAGTTGTGACAAGAAATGATGAATATCCTTTATAGTTCAAAAATAATAACCGTCGCTTGAATAGAAGATC